AAACTCCGGATCAAATTTATTAAATTCGTTTACCAAAAAATCAGCCCAATAATGAAAGTAAGTAACTCAATTCTTATGGCAAAAAACAACAAATTTTGGCTCATTTGCATTAATTAACCGATCGATTTTTTTACTAAAACGAGCCCAGTAAAATAAACCCAAATAAATTATAATTTGGGCCGAATAAACCAAAAATATCCAGCCCAAATCAACCCAATGCCTCAATTATATAAGTCCAATTTTGTTTTAATACAACCGATCAGACGGCCAGCAAATAAGAACATTGGAGTAATACAAATAAATAAGTAACAGAATCCTTTATAGATAGCACCAGATTTGAAGTGAATTTTCCATAGGAAATCTGTACTATAAATAAGTAAATCAAATTTGTATCATATGGATATAAACACGTGAAGATCAAAAGTCATTCAAAATTTGAATTTAAATAGGATTTCAAAAATAAGTAAGTCAAAGGTTTTGACTCATTTTTTTTCGTAAACTCTCCACAAATGATTTTTCCATCAACCTCTTTCAATATAGATAGGTGTTGGGACCAGTGAAGATCTCGTTATGTACAAGTCATGAATCGAATAATCAGCAATATACCTATGCGCAGTGGATCTAGAGGTTTAAGGTTGAACACTTACGGCTTAAAGAATTGCAGACTCTAAGACCTTGTAGATTTTCGTTGATGGAGATCGTCTGATTTTTCACTTGCCGAGATTGCCTCGTTCGAACGTCTTGGGGTTGTCGGGAAAACGTCGCGCGGTTGAAGCGGGTCTCGCGGACATCGGGTCGCGGTCGAGCGGGAACTGCAGTGTATGTAGTCGTCGGGGAAGCATGAGTACCTCGCCGGCTGTAGGCGGACGAGACAGGTCGCTGCTGCGTCCGGGCTGCGCGCGATGGTCGCCCGGAATGTGTCTCAGGTGATCGCTATTGTGGCCTCGTCGTGTACGGCTGGTCCCGGCTTCTTTTGTACCTCGGGGACATCTGCTATATTATCCAACACCTCTCATGTTGTCTCGGTGGAGCAACGAAACTCAAAGAAAAGCTCGGGGGAAGTAGGGTCGACTGACTATGCGTGAGGCGTGCGGTTTTATATGTGTGTAATTCCATGAGCTTAATGGTGTATTTATAGGGTCACGGTAGAGACCCTAAAGAGGTGATGACGTGGGTTTTTTTAAGTTATTGGGCCTATGTGTGTCGAGCCCACTCCGCTAAATAACTCAAAAAGTGCTTCGGTTCAATTAACAAAACATTATTGCACTTCCTTATCGTCCCCAAATTATGTAAACAAAGAATGAACAAAATCGAAAGGAAGAGATGAAGCATAAAAAAAAAATCAACTAAATTACGTCTATTTCCATGAGAATACTGAAATAAAGTAGAAGAAGAACTTGTTCTAGTCACACATGCAGTGCTATTTCTCGAGATTTGTATTTGGGTTGTGGGAATCATCATTTCGACCAGATGATGTGTCCGTGCGTCCTGTTGCATGGTTTCATACCCAACGCCAATTTTGAAAGAGTATCTCTTCTTTAGCGTTGAGCGGACAGTGGTTACAACTACATATATATTTATCACTTTTTTTTTCTCATTGGCCACTTTTGTGAAATGACTCGTTAATACGTCGAATGTTAATTGTCGACCTCCGCAGGCGGCCATCCGTTGAGGTTGACCTTCACCTCGAGTAGGATCAAAATATTCTCCATACGACAGCTCCTGGTCCTCCTCATTTTCCTCGAAATGTAATCTCTCGTGGATTTCATCAATAGATTCAAAGATGCGTTGGTGATTGGGTTGACCCAGAACGTCTCTGTATATCATCGACGTCTACATCTGCAAGGGAGGTAAACCACTCGTAGATGCGCCTACATTTTTAAGCTTTGGTACCCGTCCACGACCACTGGCACCACCACGATCACTATGCATTTTACAACTTGAAGAATACAATTTATAAAAGGGTTAATTGCATAAAAAACCACCACCTTTTGTTTAATTGCAAATAAAACTCAACCTTTTTAATTTGACAAAAAAATACCTAACTTTTATTAAGTGTTGCAATTTTGTCTCGTCCGCCGGACCCCGCCGCCAACCACCACCCGTCGCCGTCAACTTCGCCGGATATTGAAAATTTTTATATGATCTTGTAGCTCTCTTCCGTGCCGACAACATATCCGTGTTTCACGAAAAAATTTCGACGATAAGACCTCCAATTTTCCGGTCTAAGGTCGTAGATCTAAATTTTTTACGACCTTTGACCGAAAAATTGAACGTCTTGTCGTCGAAATTTTTTCGTGAAACTTGGATATGTTGTTGGCACGGAGGAGAGCTACAAGATCATATAAAAATTTTCAATATCCGGCAAAGTTGGCGGCGGCGGGTGGCGGTTGGCGGCGGCGGTCCGGCGGACGAGACAAAATTGCAACACTTAATAAAAGTTAAGTATTTTTTTGCCAAATTGAAAAGGTTGAGTTTTATGTGCAATTAAATAAAAGGTGGTGGTTTTTTATGCAATTAACCCTTTATAAAATAAGTACGAGAGGAAAAAATGATAGAAATTAAAAATGAGAGAGTATTATGAAGCGAATTTATAAAACCGAAACAAAAATGAGAGAGAATTTATAGAATTGGAACCAAATGTATCTAGAACCGGGCACCAAATCTCAAAAGTAAAGCATGTAACCTTAGAAATGAGATGGAGAAAGTGAGATACAACTGGAACCGAAACCATTTACGATAACTATAAAAAATCGGATCGTTGGATCTCCAACTATAAAAAGATCCAACAGTCTATATTTAATCTTATAGCGGGTCTTGTACTGAACCCAACCTAGCCTGACTTGAAATCGAAAATAAAAAATAATAGTGAAATTTTTTCGAAAAAAATAAAGAAATAATATTACTGGGCTTCCGGGCAGGTTTCAGGCAAATCCTAAACCGAAATCGACGGTTCACAAAAGAATAATTTTGTAAACATGAACTGATCCGGGTAAAATTACGAGCCAATTGCTAGCCCGCAGTCAACAGGTTTGACAGGGCCAATTCGCGCCATGACTATATATATCTCTGTCCCTCCTCTTATTAAAATAGCTCCCCCTGCTCCCTCCCCCTCCCCCATCCCCTTAGCTTAAACTAAACATACTCTTACCCCTTTAGATCACAATTGATTTTTGGTTGAACTTGGTTCGACTTGTTTAATATTGAGGTGGCGACGAATCGAACCGGCCAGGTTACGCCCGTTGACTACGACCTAGAATTAGTCTGTGGCTTTACTTGGAGCTGTTTAGGTTTAACTAGTTTTAAATAATGAATTGTCTGTTACGATTCAAATCGAAACCGATGGTCTGTTGCCGAAATTTTAATTTAAATACTATTTTTTTCTCTATTTTATATCATTTTATTATTAATTTTTTAAACTTTTTTTGGTTCGATCTTGGACCGACCCGGCCAGTGGACCGATTGTGGACCGTGACCCGCCGGTTCATTTAATCGAACCCGTATATATACCTGAACCGACAACCGCAATCGGCCCGGAACAATTAGCCACCTCTGCTCCAAGTTCTTCGAATCGTTTTTATTCCGGCAATCCTCTTCACCCGTACACTAGTAATTCTTTTTTTT